TATATAGACTCCAAGAGTTCAAGTTTTGTTTGAGTAACCGGATTTTGAATATTTGCGGTTTATGAATCTATAGGTGACAGTATTGTGACAATATATAACAACTCTCTTCCATCACGGGAAATGTTTAGCCATCAATGTGTTTCCACAAAAGCTGATTTTGAACTTTATATACATTTATAACAATCGACCAGTAGTTGTTTTACCAACAAGTTTGTTTTCTCTTCTGTTCCAGTGGAGATTATGAAGGTGTCATTCTGTTCATCGTTTGGTTTCTGGAGTTTGCTCATTTTTTGTAGTTTGTTTGTTATTGCAAATGCAAATATCCACCAGGATGATGAGGATGATGCATGGATTGATCCATATGACTCGATCAACTACGACTCAACGACAAAGTGCTTGAGAAAACCAGCAATGGTAAAACATTATTATACCATCGGGCAGTTTATTAATGCATTACAGTGCTTGCAGGACATTTAAATCCCTCCTCTTTAAATTTTTTCCATTGAAAATAGACTCCATTCAGACTTTGCATTGTAAATTATATCTAGGTATTTTAGGTTTTTACGAACTTTATAGTTTAAATGAAATTTAAAGGGATAGTTCCTCTGAAATTGAAAATTCAGCCACTGTTTCCTCACCTTGTTGTTCTAATGCCATATGACCTTCTTAATTTTTCAGACCGTGCAACAGTGTCCTGATGCATTTGAGTGGATCAATAAACTAGAGAGTTTGCAGAAAGAGGTGAAGAATATGTAAATACACCTGTGTTTAGTAGACCGCAATAACAAAATGATAGTGGCATGTTTTTTTGGACATGATACAATGGTAATTTCCATGGTAATTGGTAATGTCCTGAAGACTAGTATTGTACCATTTAGCACTTTGAATTACTGAAACTATGTATTGTATAATTATATCCATATTGTTATATTATATTATTGCTATATCTTTTTTTAGTTTGATGAACAGAAAAAGAAGGAGACCACCACCTCTATAAATCCAGTGTGTCTTCCAGTATTCAAGCGATTCCTTTCCAGGCTCCTTAAAGAAACTTCAAAACTCGGCCTGGTATGTGACTGACTGAGTTTTCTCCAGGGAACTGATTCAACATGAATCTACATTGGTTATGGTTTTACAACTTTTTCTGTTTTTAATCTTTAGCCTGCTGATGGACAGACATCCATGCATTATGACGCTGAAGTGAAGCTGTCCAAGCAGTCATGCACTGGGCTGAAACAACTGGACTGGAAGGACAGTTTATCAGGTAAGGTGATTAATGTTATTTATTCACCTGTATGTCATTCCAAACTCATTTGATGTGGAACATGAATTTAGAATTTTGAGGAATCTTGACAGATCTTTTTAAGCTCCAAAAAGAACACAAATGCACTAAGATAAAAGTAAAATGAAGCCAAAGATATTAAAGATAATTTATAATTCTGCTTTTGTGTTCCACTGAAGAGCCTATGGATTTTAGATTACATGAAGATGAGTAAATAATGACATATAATGATTTAGAGATGAAGTGTTGTTACTGCATGTTTTTTTTTTTTTTTTTTTAGAGTGGTACAGACAGACATGGACTCTTCAAGATGATCCTTGCAAAAAGTACTATGAGGTCCTGGTGGTGAACCCCATTTTGCTTGTGCCTCCAACAAAAGTTTGTATCTTTTAGTTTCCAACAACAGAAATTTAAGCTTGATAAGAGACTAGTTGTTGACTGATAATGGATACTGACTAATTAGCTGATCATTTAAGTATGTTGAATTAAAATATTCAGTGTAAAATAATCTGAACCTAATTGCAAAAAAACAGTACTATGAACCATTTAGATAAATGTAAAAAATCAAAACAAATAATAACACTTAAAAAAAAAACATTTATCCAAAGAGAGCACCGGAGATTTGTGTGTGTTTTTTTTTCTTTTTACAGAGATTAACCATTTTATTCAGCAAGAATGCATTAAATTGATTTAAAAGTGACAGTAGATACGTTTATATGTTATTTTTATGTTAAAAAGATCCCTATTTCACATAAGTGCTTTCAATCTTGCAAAAAATGTATCACAGTTTTTACAAAAATATGAAACAGCACAACTGTTTTCAAAACTGATAATAAGACATGTTTCTTGAGCATCAAATCATCATACTAGAATTATTTCTGAAGGATCATGTGACACTGAAGACAGGAATAATGATGCTGAAAACTTTTAGTTTTACTTTATGTTTGAGCAAATAAATACAACATGAGGTGAACATAAAAGATTTCCTTCAAAAACAAAAATTTTGAATGGTAGTGTATTCCAATATAAACACTCCAAGACAAAAAAAATATTGTTCTATAAATACAGTAAAAGCAGTAGATCAGTAGTCAGCATTTGTCGTAAATTTTCAGTTATATTATGTTATATAAACTGTTTAGTTTTAATATTTATTATATTGTTATTGTTCATCAGATATCTTATTGTTCCAAAAGCTGCTATGAGAGTTGTAACCAGAGGTGAACTGTATTTATAATAGATTTGTGGGGTTTTATTCTAGGCTATCACGTTCACCATAACGAGTTTCATCACAGACCCCTTGAAGCAAATTGGACAGGGAATCAGTGAGTTCCTCAGAGCCCTGCTGAAGGATCTACCAGTCACACTCCAGTTACCTGTGCTGCTCATCATTGCACTTGCCATCATTGTAAGAGCTGTGAACAGCAAACATACTGTAGGATCATTTATTTGTTATCATACTAAGGCATATTTGCTCCTCTCAGATGTTCATGTATGGAGGTGCTCAAGCAGCTATACATCAAGCAGTTTTCTTGCCTCAGCTCGGTGGGCAACAGGACCCGCCGCATCCTGCTGTAGGACAGCACCAAGCTCCTCAACTAGAGGCAGGGGCAGACGCTCCACAGTGAAGCCCTGCACGGGATGCAAATCAAGGCCCTAGCCCGGCCCTGGCCTGAGATGCTTAGGCCCTTGTCTGGCCCTTGTCTGATGGTGACATTTTTGCCCCAGGCCCCCAAATTGTACTTTTTGAAACTAAAGTTTACCCCAAACTAAACTGGGGGAAAGGCACTACTATGAAGCAAAGTTAATTTAGAATTAGAATAATTAACGGGTAATAACTTGTCTAAATGAGTGCAATAATTCCAAACAAATGTCCAATAAAATAAAATAAAAAATAAATATGTTTCCCTTTTGCCGCCCTGACTGTGATGGGCGCTAAGACGCCTGCCTAGTTCGCCTAGGCACGCACTGGCCCTGACCACATGTTTGATGAATTTAGCCTTTTCAAATCACTTGACTTGCCTTTTAAAAAATCCATAGATATAAAACAGTTAAAGCATATCACAATGTTAGTTTAAACGTATAACCTAGATAAATGTACGCTGTGTTAGGCGCATATCTAAGTGCGTGTGTAAGCCAAAGTGTGCTTAAAGGGTTAGTTGAAAATTAGCTTGTGTTTTACTCACCCTCGAGGCATCCTAGGTGTATATTACTTTCTTCTTTCAGACGATTCCAGTCGGAGTTATATTAAAAAATGTCCTGGCTATTCCAAGCTCTAGCATTGCATTCAGCAACAGTGAACAGTCCACAAGTCGTCAAATAAAGCGCGCACATCCATAATAAAACGTGCCTCACACCGCTCCTGGGGGTGAAATAAAACGCCGGTCATGAATTAGAAGTACAAACCGAGAATTTGCAAAGAAAAATGTCAGAGGATTTTAATATAAACCAAGAGGAGACTTTGGAAACTTTGCTTCCTTTGCTCCTATAAACAAACTTGAGACTAGAAAATCTCAGAGGCGCGCACGCTGCGGATACGTGCTGCGTCATCAATGATAGAGCGTGGAATAGCCAGGACAATTTTCAATATAACTCCGACTGGAATCGTCTGAAAGAAGAAAGTCATATACACCTAGGATGCTTCGAGGGTGAGTAAAACAGTCTAATTTTAATTTTTGGGTGAACTAACCCTTTAATGATAGTTCACCCAAAAATGAAAGTTCTGTCATTAATTACTCCCCCTCATGTCGTTCCAAACCCGTAAGACCCGTAAAAATTAAAATATTTTTTATGAAATCCGAGAGTTTTGTGACCCTGCATAGACAGCAAAGCAACTGAAATGTTTTATGGCCCAGAAAGGTAGTAAGAACATCGTTAAAATAGTCCATGTGACATCAGTGGTTCAACCGTAATTTTATGAAGCTACAAGAATACATTTTGTGCACAAAGAAAACAAAAATAATGACTATTTCTCATCTTCCGGGTCAGTCTCCTCCGCCATTCACGAGAGTACCACGACGCATGCTTGTAAACAAGGTGCAGCGCATCCGGGTTTTTACGGAAAAACGTTGGCTCGTCAGCATCATCACACGCATCACATGCAACCCTTTAAAACAGAACATGGAGACTCCAGCATGATAGAATTTTTTTCCTGAAGCAACTTACAATACGGTGTAATTTTTGCTCATGCAGTTAAGAGTTATACACTGAAAATATCAACAAAACGTTGTGTTTTTGTAAAATTTAAGAAAACAAACAGGATGTGCTTTCTGCTGTCTCAGTCTCCGACTGGAGCGCATCACAAAAATTAAACAAAACAGCGTACAGGCTGTATGATCAAATCGAAAACAAATACTTTCTGATTATATAATCCGTATGAAAGGTGTATCTCTTTGAAGGCACGTCCACTGTAGGCCTACTGCAGAGATGGCGATTCAACATTGTCAGCTTCATCTTTGCAGTCCACACACTGACTGAGAAAAAATAGTTTTAATAAATAATAAAAATATCTCCAGCTATTTTATTCTGACACAAAGTATCAGTAATAAAACGGACACGAAAGGACGTTAATTTCGTACTGTGCACTTGAATGCGGAAGGCTATAGCTAGCCTATCCAATTAAAGGCTCATTATGGTTTAGTATTTAAGTAATTAATATAAATGTGCGATTAACCGACTAATGGCTTAAATGAACGACTACTAGTTGACTAGAAAAACTGTTATTCAGGGAAGCTCTAGTTTTAATCCAGTCCTCGTTTTTTTATAACTCTTCCAGATGTGGTGAAGGCACGCTCGCGGCTGCTGCTGCTGGCGGGGACACTAAACAGTGTGCGAGACAGTCTTGACAGTCGCGGTAGCATGGTCTCAGGTTGTTTCCACCAGAGTAGCACATCTTTTCCATCACCTTAATTGATGGATGTCTAAATATATAAAAAGAAGGAGAAGCCTAAAGCAGACCCGATGCCCGTGTGAGCTTTGACAAATTAACCAAAGCTCGGCCCTAGGGGCGTAAATAAGTCGGGCCCCATTGGGTTCAGGATGAAATGCAGGGCTCCACTCCACAGCCGCCACAGATGCGCCAGGACAATAGAAACAATAATGTCCAGCGATGATGAGACTAATTTTCAGCAGCGGAATGGAGGGGCCTCCAGAAGTGAGCCTGAAACCAATGTGCCTTCTGCTCAAACAGATACAGTTACTTGTAAATTATTCCTGTGATGCATTTTTTCCCCAGGATTCATTGATGAATAGAAAGGTCAAAAGAACAGTATTTATTTAAATAGAAATATTTTGTAACAAATGTCTTTACAGTCACTTTTGATCAATTTAACAAAAGTATTAATTACTAATTTCTTACTGTATTCTACAGATAACATTTTGCAAGCTTAACACTGTACGTCTGTTTACATGATATTTTTTTATATTTAATGGTCTGTGATTCTGCGTTTATGTTTTACTATATTAAGGCAATAGTGCATGTACACGTGCATTATTCACTACATTGTGCTACAGTTGGACAATCGTTTTTCCTTCTGGAGCATCAGTGAGCGTTTGAACTTTTTGTAATTGTTACGTATGAGTTCCTCAGTTGTCCTCAGTGTGAAAAGATGGATCTCAAAAGAATACAGTCATTGTTGGAAAGGGTTCAAGGGTTCAGCAAAAGATGCTGGAAAGCCAAAGGATTTGTGAGACCTGAAGTATTTTTTTCTGAAGAACAGCGGGCAGTTTAACTGTTCAGGACTAACGAGGGACTCAAGAACAACTGCCACAGAGACTAATTTTCAGCAGCGGAATGGAGGGGCCTCCAGAAGTGAGCCTGAAACCAATGTGCCTTCTGCTCAAACAGATACAGTTACTTGTAAATTATTCCTGTGATGCATTTTTTCCCCAGGATTCATTGATGAATAGAAAGGTCAAAAGAACAGTATTTATTTAA